CAGGCCGAGCGAGTCAGGCATGGGTCTGGTATCTGGAATTTTTTTTTCCTTCTAATTAACTACACACACTTATGTTCTTCTTAAAGAATCAGTTTAAGCTGTTAATGTTTTCCCCTAACTGCTACCATGCTGTTAACATAGAAGAGAGTTTTAGAAAAAGTGGATTTGGAGAAATTCCTAAAGTGTGATAATTTCTTATATGCATTTTTGTTGTAACCTTGTAGATCCAGGATACTGCCTCACCTATACTGTCTCTCATGTATCTCTTACTGGACCAACTTCTGTTGGAAAGGGGAGCTCAGTATAAGCTCCTCTTCAGGTCTGGGAAATGTACTCAAGAGTGTCTCTGTTCAATACAAGCTGGGACAGATTGCTCAGCATAAGTAGCTAACGCATTTAAAGGGACCATTCAAGGTGAAGAGACATTGACTTATGACAACAAATCTATAACCTACTAACCCCCCCCCCCCCCCCCCCCCCCACTTAACACCTTTCCAATCGTGAGTGGATAACTGGCCACTTTACTACAGACCTCGCTGTTGTCATCCATGCCTCTTGTCACTTCCAGGCTGCTATGCATGAGATTTTACCCTTCAAATTCACTTGGAAACTCCAGCTTGTGTAGAACATGGCTGTACACCTGGAGTGAAGTGGGCTCAAGCATATGGACTAGTGCCTCTGGTCTAGAACTTCAGAAGTGAAGAGTCCATTAAAGCTATGACTGGTTTAGAATAAGGTTATGAGAGGCCATCTCTAAACTATACCCTATTGCAACCATCAAGATGACCTGGGAGATTCCTGTATCTTCCTGAAGTCGTACTCCATACCAGTGGCAAAATACATCAATATAGTGACCATAAGTAAATATTTAAAGCAGTCAGTCATGAGTAATTCTATGTAAGACAGGCACTTTATATAACAATTGAAACAAGCTGCACCTCCTTTAGATAAACTCATTCCTCTGACATAACTTTACTTCCTGAAGAGTATGCATCAAGATGAATAGCCGTGCATTTTAGCGCCTGTTTCTATTGATGCTGCTGTGCTAAAGCATAATAAACTAACACATACTCAAAGTACAACTACATAAAATAGCAAACTGGAACCTCTCTCTCTTTTTCTAGTGTGTCTGCCTTTGATAGATCCACAAAGAAACATATGCAGAACCTGAGGCACTGAAATATGTAATTGCTCAGGTATCCAAAAAGAAAGAAAAATAAGCGATTGGAAAGAAAATGAAAAATACAAACTAGATACAGTGAATTTCCCATCCAAAATAAATTTAATCCACCAATTATTAATAACGTTACATAAGAGAACCCATTTTTTAAAAATACACATAAATAAAGCAAAAAACTTACAGAATTATTGTTAGATAGACATATGAATAATCCCTCAGAGGATAAAACAGTCTTATTCATTACTACATGAGTACGGTCGCCAAGTGTCCAGTATTCACCCGGACAGTCCGGTATTTGCGGCTCCGTCCACTTTTAAAAAAAAAAAAACAGAAAATACCGGACAAATGAAATCTCCTGTATTTCCTGTTTCCCTTGGACAGAAATCCGGCGGGGACAATTTTCCACTGCCGAGTATGGCAAGGGTAAGGGAGTGAGGAGCACAGCAGAGGCGTAGCAAAGTGGAGCAAGAGGGGGCACTTGCCAGGTGCCACAGTAAGGGGGCGCCAGGCTGGGGTGGGAGCGGCATGCATGCTGCTCTGGCCCACGTGACCAGTAGAGACCTGGGCGCTGGCCACGTGATGCTTCCCTCTACACACTGTGAGCTGAGGCAGCCAGGCTAGGGGCAAAAGCAGCCACTTTAAAAGTAAGATTAACTTACCCAGCTGTTCCGTTCCTCCGGTGCCTGGCTCTGTTGGGAGGGCTGAGGGGAGGGGAAGGGAGCGGATTTGATTGGGATGGGGCGCTACATGCACTGGGGATGCCTGGTGCTGAAAAAAACCCCTCTTGCGCAATGCCATTCTTCCTGAAAAGTAATAGGTGTAACGAAATTAGGCTCATTAGGTATGCTTAGCCTCATTTGCATATTACTCGCACAAGAAGCCACAAGTGTAGACATAGCCTGTGAGGGGCCTGGGTCTGGGGGAAGGGTGAGTGCATTGGGAGGGGGGGACTGGCTCAGAGGGAGGGGTGGGTACATTGGGGGTTAGTGTGTGGCCCCAAACTGGAGGGAGTGGTGCAACTTTTGCTTAACTTTGGTGTGTGTGTCCCCACTCCTTTCAACCCCCCCCCCCCTTGACAGAATTTTTCCCTGGTGTGGGTTTTTTTTGTTTTTTGGGGTTTTTTTTTGGGGGGGGGGGAGGTCAGTATTTTTTGTTAAACCATCTGGCAACCCTATACGTGAGAAATGGCATAGAACAATGTTCATAGGCATTGTTACTAAATGTTTTTAAAAACATTAGTAGGCCCCCTGTATGTGTTTAATGCAACACTAATAGAGTAGTTAAACATCTGTCTGTATGAAAGTATGCAATAGCTATCAATATCAAACTTGGAAAGGAACTAATAGAATGCCCATCGCACAAACCAATTTTATTCTATTCCACTAGGAAGTGAAGCAAAATGCAGGACAATGTAGCACTTTAAAGACTAACAAGATGGTTTATTAGATGATGAGCTTTCGTGGGCCAGACCCACTTCCTCAGATCAAATAGTGGAAGAAAGTAGTCACAACCATATATACCAAAGGATACAATTAAAAAAAAAGACCTTTTACATCTGCACTTGAAAGGGAATCCTCTGAACTGTCATTCATGTTAAAATTCGACACTTGCCAACAAGGACTTAACAAGAATTTGAACTATCTCACCCATTACCAAGACAGTTTCCCGTGTTAGTCTGGGGTAGCTGAAGCAAAATGCAGGACAATGTAGCACTTTAAAGACTATGTGATTTGTCCTTTTCATATTTGTTCATTTTTTTTAATTGTATCCTTTGGTATATATGGTTGTGACTACTTTCTTCCACTATTTGATCTGAGGAAGTGGGTCTGGCCCACGAAAGCTCATCATCTAATAAACCATCTTGTTAGTCTTTAAAGTGCTACATTGTCCTGCATTTTGCTTCAACTACCCCAGACTAACACGGCTACATTTCTATCACTAGGAAGTGAAGCCTTAGTTTGTCTGCTTATATACTTTGTCTAGCAATTTCTGATTTACCCAATGGTATAGAGTCTTCCAATCTTACTCATGTTAAATAGCGCTTTATACCTTGAGACATCCTTGTGATTTCTACAAGAGACCCGAGGCACTCCACAGAGCAAGTGACAGAATTTGGCCCTTACACACTACTGAGCACATTAATATAAAACTATTATAGACTGACCACAGGAAAATACAAAAACACTAGACTGAAAATAGTAGAATGTCCAGCGTCTGATATTTGGTCACAGCTATGTGTCTCAAAGTCCATCTATCCACCTGAGGTGAGTAAAACTTTAAAATAAAACATACAGTAAGTTTAGCTATTTATTAGCTATTGTATTTCCTACAGAGACATTTATAACCAGATCTCAAGAATAGGGAGTTGAAAAAATATGGAAGCAGTAAAGTTTTAAAAATCTTCTCAGCTTTTGAAGATACACAAAATATACAGATTTTGAATTACACTTGTTTTTAATTTTTATATAATAGTCTTCTACCACTTCCTCAATATTAACAGATTAAACACAATACTACATAGGTCAGCGTTCTCAGACTGAATAGCCATGTAGAAAATGCACAAAACCGAATTCAGCTTGAGGACAAGTATGACACAGAAATATAAGCTCTCATACAGACCCTGTACACAAGTATAATTTCATGAAAAGAATGAGAAGGAAAGGAAGACACACATACGCACAACTCAAGAGAAATAACATATTTAAACAGTGAAAATAAAAATATCTAAATACCTCCACTGACACATGGAGGGGGGCAGATAGGTTTCCCCACCTCCAATGTATGGTGTGCCCACTCATTCTAAAATATTGACAAAAAATTCAAAATGTATGCTGGTCTAATAGCCTTTACCTTAGTAGAGCTCTCATTACATACCACTGAAATCAGCTATCATTCCATGTTCCTGAATTAATAGTTTGGTGGCACTCCTAATGAAAGTTCTTGATCCCTAGAATTTCAGAAGTAATGGAAAACCTAATCTATTAGACAAACAATAATAGAAAATGATCATAAATGATCCCTGAAAAGTCTAGCATCTGTTGTTTGGATACAGAGCATTTACTGCTACCAAACTGAAGAATCAACACAAATTTGAGTATTAAACACTTGGAATGAGGATCTGAAGAAGAGATTTTGTGGTTCTCAGTCATCATGGAAGAAGTGGACTATTAGAAGATATACTTAAAGATGAGAGAAGAAAGAAAGTCCATCATTTAGACTAGGAGATTACCCCAGAAGATTCAAATATCTGAAAGTAATGGTGTGAAGCAGAAGTAGATGTGACTAATGAATACTGCAAAGGAGTAACATGAAAGTTCCCCCCAAAAAAGTCAAAATTAGGAGGAAGAAAGGAATGAGTCTGTTGGACTTTAACTAAGGAACTCAGAATTGTTCCTATACCCCAACCTTAGCTTTATTTCTGTGTTCCTACCACAACAACTTAGAGGCTAAAGTTTTATTTACCACCAACTAGCTCTCATACTGATTTATAATACAGATCATTTCACCACATACCCAAATATTATCCAAACACAGATATATATATATATATATAT